ATCATATAAACAGCCTTTGTGTTGTTTTCATCATAGCTTAAACCCATCAGCACATGTATTTTCCAGATTTCGTGATTCTGTTTACTATTATTAAAGAAGCCAGTAGGTCATAACACATAAATTAATGAAGTAAACAAAAATACATCTACTTCACAGAGAAGAATTCTTCATTCCCCAGATTTGCCTTTTTTCCACCAGCTATTGTTTGCATCTTAAAAAATTCTGTAAGTAGAAACTTCTTTCCCCAGAGAGTAGGTCCTACTTTATGAATGACAGCTAGTTAAACAGGCTCTTTAGGGTTTTCTTAGCAACAAACCTATCCTAATACTTCTTGCAATTAGACCTGATAAATTCATTAAGTTCTCCTCCCCAACATTCTGAGTCAACAAGGTCAGCTTGAAGAGCTACTCTGGTTTTTAAGTGACATTCTTCTCTTTGCGGATCACATTGGTAAGCCCATCAGAGTGTGGTAAGATGACGTTAGAAGACATCAGCCCTCCTTTCCTTTCCTAGTATAATTATCCCTTAAAAACTCAATGGCATAGGCTACAATGACAAGTTATTTTGACAAGAAACAAGGCAAAAAAAAGTAGACAACAGTACATTTCATGGTCACTAACCCCTTCCTTCTCATGACTGTCTCTAAGATACACTGAACCTTAAGATAGGATAATTTAAAAAAGCTAATGGATTAAAGTGAATTCACCACAAGTACTGTAACCAAGGATTTTTTTTCAGGGCTGAAAAAAATACACATAATATTCATGACATGCGGTGTAATGAGTTTCTGTGGTCCATTATTAGGTTATGGTAACATAATACTTTTCAAAAGCACTTGCTTTCTTGTCTAGAAGGATTTTCCTGTGACTGCTCTACCGAGCTTGAAGCATCAGCTACTTTTCTACACATACAATGACTTCACAGAACTGATTCTCTCAGATAAAACTTAACTATCGTATTTTTTGCAAGAGACTAGCAAGTGTTTTTGTTTTTCCACTTGTCCTGAAAGCTCCATACTCTTGCATTTTCAGTTGCAAAACACATACATACACACACACGCGCAAATACATATATATGTAGGTGTCATTCCCTTAGCAGTTACTGAGGTTGCACTTTCATGATATGGCTAAGAAGTTCTGCCGGTGAGCTGTGGTCTAAGACCTACCCATTTCCTCCATCTCTTATACTTCTTCCCTTGTGTTGTGTTGATGCCCATGTAACTATGCTGTGAGTTTACAATTCAGGTAACTAAATCAGTAGAAATCCAGACAAGGAAAAAAAAAAGCAAACCACACACACACACCAAAAAAACCCCCAACCAAAACAAGCCAACAAAAACCTCCAAAAAAACTACATGAACAAAAAAACCCACACAAACAACCTTTTTGCCTGTTTATCTCCAGATTGGGGATCATGGCTGGGAGGAAGTAGTGCAAAGAAAACAGTGGGAGTATGCAACAGGGCAGGGGACTTTTCCTTTCAGCGACATGGACATTGGCTCATGTTGAAATCACAGCTTTACACATCACTGAGCTTTACAGCTGCCACCTTCTCAGCTGAAATCAACAGCATTAGTTACCATACTTAAGTGACTTGCATGTAACTATAATTTTAGTACTAGGAATCATTATACTGATTGTTCTGGATGCACTGGTTCTTTTTAGTGGTAGCCATCATTACGTAGTAGCTCTTGGCCCCTCTGGTATCGAGGTCTCCATACTAGCTGATGAGAAAGCAGCTCCTTCATTCCATTCTAGTTTGTGCTGTTTGCAAGTAAAAAGAAAGCAAGCTAAAAGCTGTGTCAAAGGTGCAGACCTCACACTGCAGGACAACTTCGGAGTACCAGTCAGTTTGTGATACCCACCTCACTGCAATAAAACGCAAGAGTCTATCTGCCTCTTCTCCTCAAACATGAAGCTTTATTTTAAGAGAACAGTAAGGATTTAGTCCAGTATCACTCAAATCAATACATGGCAATCAACTGTAAGAAAATATTGCTATTACAATTTTTTATAAGTAATCCTTTAAATCTTTTGAGGACTGATTTTCCAACCACCAACATACATAGACAACAGGTGCCTGTCAAACTGTGTATTACTTCTTATAATACTTGCTTAGAATCCTCTAACAAAAAAAAAGATCTGGTAAAGACTAGATGCATAAGTTTGCATGTTAAGGTCCCTCAAGGAAAGAGAGACTCTACTTCCTCTCTGCAAAATAAAATTCATGCTTGTAGTGTTGATAATTCATTAGTTGTACTACAGGAATACTTCTATAACAGCACTCTGAAAGCACAACCAAATTACTGAGGCTGTTAAACAGAGAGGGGAGAGAACGAAGCAAACAAAAGATCATTTTGATACTTATCCCACTGAGCATTTTAGTTCTACAGAGCTGAGCTACAGTCCATGAAAGATACTAAGTTAAATCTGAGGGAAAGAAATGCAGATGATCAGCTAACAACAGTAAATAGAAGGTTCATAGTGTGTCCATTTCTCCTTTAGGTCAGTGGCAGACTTCCCTTGCGCTGGGCCCAGGCCTAGAATCAGGAGACTTCTTTCCCCTTTTGTGTCTCAGCAAAAAGATTCAAAGTTTTCCACCTTGAAACTCACATTACTATGGGCTTTTCAAAACAGAAACTCTTTTACTATGGTAACAGGACCCAGTAGGTGCTCGTCATTAGCCTGATTAAGTCAGGCAAAATCTGTGGAAATATTTTAAATAAATTCACTGGGCTTTGGGTCAGCAAAATGTAAATTAAGTAAAGATGCAGCTCATAGTAAGTAATCCCGCAAAGAGCAGCTCTTCCTTTACTCCTTCCGAGTTCATGAAGAGTTGAAGAAACCAGGTCCTCCATCTCTGATGGAGGTCTAAGATCTTCTAAAAGAATATCAGGTGTGCTTGAAAGCTTCGGTAAGCTTAATAGAGGCTGGACTAAAATCTTTTCCACATGCTGTACAAAACCAATTTGACCTCCTACATGCTGCAACTTGTTTCTGAAGTATCTAGCAGCCCTATTCAAGATCTTCAGAACAGAGTTACATTTTTAAATACCATTCCTTCTGATGGGGAATCAAAATTTTATAGTCTGAATTTAAAACCATTGTCCTCATGAGTGTAAAAATAAAAGGGAGGTAAAAATAAAACCACCTGTGGATATTTGAGTTATTTAGTAACCTAGTACTAAGATTTCACTTTCTTAACTTTCCCTTCCCCCCAAAACCCCTTCCATCACCTGGACTAGAACAATACCATCAAAAGCAGGAGCGCTCTGAGGGAAAGGTATGAATGAGTGCAGCAGAGCCAAGTATTTTTCCAAGGCAGGACCTCCATGGTTGATTGCAGTAGATTTGAGGTCACTCTGCTGCCCTGTTGCAAGCCACTTATAATGTAGGGTTTATTAGCTTGGGTTTAGCCTGGTAGTAATTCAGTTACAGGGGGGCACAATGACTGCCTGCAGTCTACTGGGAAGACATATGCTAAATACCCCAGGTTTCAGGAAGCATCCTAGATCTTAATAGCTCTGCAGTTAACGTGGTTGAGGAAATGGGTTCTTAATTTGTCTGGCTCCAGCAGAATTGTTTTTCAGGTTAACTGATTAGGCAAAGGGTTTTTTTACAGGAAACATTCCCTTCTTCAGAATTGGATTTAAAATTACCCTGAAACAGTTAAGGCAGTCACAAATAAAGCAGGTCCAATATTTAGGATCAGGATGTTAAGACTCTTCCTCACTTTTGCCTGTAGCCAGTAAGCCAGGAAAACAGACCACAAGATCTGGGCTGGTTTGATAGCAAAAGCGGAGTCGGCTTTAATTTGTGGACAAACAGGCAATGCTAGTAGAGCCAGACAGTGGACCACCCAGATAACAGACCAGATTCAGCAGGGCTGGTTCAGCTTGGCTCAGAGAGCTGGGCAGTGCCAGCACAGTAGTGTACAAAACATGGAGCTTGCTCATATTTGCTCTGTTTCCATCCCCTTCCCACAACACAAAACATGGCAAAACAGAAGCACAAAGACACACTGGTCTGTCCAGACTCATCATTTACCCCTTGTGGGCTTCCCTAGGTTGTGCAGTCAGAACTCCAGTCTAAGGTGCCTGTCTGCATTCACACAAGGACAGCAAGCACTGAGCACGGTAGTGGAGTGAGGATGTAATAGTTTCCCCTGGCTCTAGCTTGGTGGCACTGAGAGAGCTACAAAGCCTGGATAGACATGAGCTGGCACCTCATAGAAATCCCACAAATTGGTCTGTCTTCCATTCCTCCTTTTCAGGAGGAATGTGACAAGAAGTCTGCCGAGTCTCAGAATGACCAGCATGAGTCTGTCCAGATTATTCATCAAAGCTCTGCACCTCAGCAAGAAATCCTGCTGCCTCTGCCAGCACAGATCTGCAACCCAGACAACCCAGCACAGGGAACTGCTGGCTGAGCACCAGAGACCTGTGAGTCAGGAGGAGAGCATTTGATGCTGTGCTCTACTTCAGACTCCATCTAAAGCTCACTACTTTCCTTCATAACTGTAAAATGGCAACACCACTTCCCTTTTCCCCAGACATTTCCTAACTTAGCTACTTAAAAGCAGTTGAGAGCAGGAGTGAACCCTTGCTGTGTTACACCTAAAGCGACTGGTGCAGCTTGCACAGCTTTTTGTGAGCCGACAGTGTTATTCCTCCCGCTCCTGCGTAACCAGCTGTAAGGAGCTGCGCTTATCTGCAGGCACCTCAGCTGAATGGTGCTGACACAGATGTTACCTTCGTGCAGGAGGATGGGGTCTGAACTTTCACTGCAACCCTCTGGGGTTATCTTTAGGTGTTTGGAGCTGTACTTTGAAGTATTATGCTCTCAAGTGTCTCACATGGCAGGGTAAGCAAGGATGCAGGCTGAGGAAAAGAACACCAGATGATCCTTTTCTTCTCACTTTACCTGCCCCTGTTATGCTGAAAATAACATACTGTAGCATTTTTCACAGGAATCTAATTAAAAATTATTTTTTTCTTTCAGCTATGATGAATGCATGGGGCCAGGAGCAACACAAATATATATTCCCACAGATGATCCCCCCCCATATTCTCTTACGGACCCTTGTCAAAGAAACGAAATATCTATAAACATTAGTCTGGAAGAGGAAGCAGCATCTGGGACTACAGGACAGGCTGCAAATTATGCACTCAGGCTGCAGGACTTGCAGCAGCCCATTTCATCCATCTCGTTGTCATCTCTCACTCTGGAGGCTGCTCCGCTGTACGAGACTGTGGTGTGCGAACAGAATAACGCCATCCCACTTGTTCCAATGGAAGTACTGAAAGGTTCTTCCACTGGCTGTCAGACCCTTCTGAACCAAATCATGTGAATAGAAGTGGTTCTTTCCTTCAATTCTTATGAAGAACTCAGATCAACAAAAACATTTAAATGGAAGAATAAAACCTCTGAAGTTTTACCTATTTTATATCTTCAAACAGGGATGCAATGGGATTTTATTTTTTACAGCGAATTTTGAAAGTTTACCTAAACTTCCCTCTTTGTGCTTCAAAGTGTTCCATGACATCACACAGCATGAAAGAGCAGCAGTGACAAGGAATGCATCTGACCTTTTTGAAGCATTTCAAAAGACATTGCAATCAGCCACTCTTAAGGTAGACACATGTTATCCAGTAAAGCCTATGTGTTGATTTTACGATACTTTGCATGTTTTAGAGCAGAAGGAAAAGGAAGAGCATTTTGTTGTCTTTGTAGGTGTCACTAGTACATTTCATTCAGTGTCTTGGCAACAAAGCATTTTTAAATAATTCTTTGTCTAAATGTGTATTTCAGTAGACAGAGAGAACAAAACATGACTATCAGTACCATACCGGAGCAAAAGAAAACGGAGAATAATATTTTGATAGTCACATTTTTCCTTTGGAAAGCCTGGCCAGTCCTAGGCTTTCCAGACCATGGCAAAGCATGCTGTAAGTCTTCCTCAAAATAAAGCAGCGGCAAGGGATGGAGAGGTGGCAACGGATCCCCAAACACCAATTGGCTTTACCTACAGAAGCTGTTGTACAGCTATGTGCAGGCCTGGGAGCTGCCTGCCCTTCACAGGGACTTGATATAGCCGCAGGAAGGGCAACGTCTGCAATCCCAGAAGATGCTTCATGCCAATTCCCACGCATGACTGCATTTTCAGGCACTAACTGGTCTCTTTCTTCAGTAAGGAGCCTGTAGTGCTACAGAGGACCCTGACACCTAGTAATTGCATTAGTGTCATGTAAATAATAGATGCTAGGCTTGGCATGCACAGTAATGAGAACCTCATTTGGTGCAGAAGGCTCTTTTATTAAGCATAATCCTTTTCACTGAAATTTTGCTACCCACAAATCTATCCTTTGTTCATAGACCTGAACTTCCCATATTTTTATACGATAAATGCATACAAGTTGGAGATGCCCACTAGCAGGAACAGCAGAGGTAAACTGCAGATGTAAGAGTTTAATCTTAGATGGTACACAAGCACTCTACTCCACATAACAACTACACTACATCTTCAAGCAGTACTAGTTAGCAGAGTTATCAGAGGCTTATCTCTACTAAATCTCTTAAGAGGTATTTTCACTGTAAAAAAAAATTTACACTGACAAAAGTGACTTCAGATCACTGCCCCCACTGAAGGATATGTACAAATTCATATAGTAAATAATTGCATTTAAAAGGAAGCTTCATCCAAATTATTAAAATTGCACTTAGATTTTCTGTAAATACTAAATAATTTTCAACTGTAATCATCATTCAACACTCTAAAGACTGACACAATTATAATAAATACTTAGATGGGAAGTAATTACATGGTTCTTACTGCTGTATAAATGATACCATTACTGAGTCATATGCACATGATGAGATAAGGTAAGTATGCATTTTTTGCTAAGTAGATGAGAGTAAACATGTATTTTGCTAAAATAACAGAATTCTTTTGCAGTTCAGCAAGATTTTCCATACTCTCAGTATAATATACCCAAAACAACAAGATTTCACAGTTTTGCATTGCAAAACTGCTGGCAGGCATTGCCAGAATGTAGGCTATATTTCACATTTGGGTTTTTTTTTAACAGAACTATTCCTCTGTATAAAGTACTAGTGTAAACAGTTTAGTGGTATGCAAAGTACCCTGCAATAAGAGAAGCAAAACTCCACACCATCTATTAGGGGCTAGAAATTAAAACCAACATAGAGATGTACCAGTCAGTTTTATTGGCAGGAAAATACAAAGTGAAGGAAAGCACAGAGGTTTATTTATGCAGAATAGGCCACGCTTTCATAGCTGTGTCTTCCTGCAGCTCTTGGAGACCTGCCTAGAACAGGGTAAGGCACTGGGACCAGACCCTGCTTACTTCAGGCTGCTCCTGGGGAGGTGGAAATCTAATAAACAAATATTAGAAGGCAAATGTGATTTCTTTTTTTTTCCCCCCATGAAAGTGAGTCTCTCTTTTACCTGCAATATGTCAAACCTGAAAGTTCTTCTGAAGACAAGCACAGAGGCCTTCTCACATCTGGCAGGCAAGCCTCTACTCTGTCACTGTTAGTTTCCGTGTATTTTGGGAATTCCTTTCAACCTGCTTGGCTTCTAACCTGACAAGGATTTCATGACCTTCCACTAACTTTCTATCTGTGGTTTACAAAATGAACTAATGTTAAGTAGGCCTCTGATGAAAATGGGAATTAGTATTTTACCTCATGATACAAATGCATTACTAAGATTACAGAAAACTAATCAAAGTCGTTCTTCATTTGATAACGGTTGTGCATCCCTAGCATTGCTATCTGGATTGTATGTAGCAGCATTTCTTACAAACAGCTGTCGACTCCCTCTTGTGGTATACCGCTTCATAAACTCATCTAGTTATCACGCTACACAAGAGTTCACAAGGAGGGACTCAGCCAAAACAATCGCAGCTTCTTTGTCATAGGGATGTGGACTCCAGCCCAAACATACACTTCCATACTGAGCATTTTTCTAAGTTACTACTAAATGCATAGGTTAGGTCATTCATTACAAACAAATATCTTTAATAAACAAACTGTGAATTAAAAGTAGAGTATGCTACCTTCAGTGATACCTTAACAGAATCATTTGAAACAGTGGCTTAGAATTTTTGACTCTTGTTAATCTTTTCAACTTGGTGATATCCAACAAAGTTGTGGGGAAAAAGGTTTATAAATCCAACCCGTATACCTCTGCAAACAGACAAGACTAGAAAGAGAAGTTTATAGCTCTAAAGCTGCTCTAATAGCTTCCGCTTCTACTGCTGGAACAATGTTGAGATTTATTGTAATGATGCAATAAGAACATGTTTTCATTTCTTAGAGAATATTTAAGTGCCCAGATAAGTCCCAGCGAAGTTGACAATGTCAGTGAAGTTGCTCCTCTTAATAAATTCATATCCTCCTATCAGATTTTATCCTAAACTCTTGCATAATATTAATGCCAGTCCTAAAATAGGTTTAACACAGCCTTTTATTTACTACATGATAAATATCAGAAAGAAAATTGTTTGGACATGCTGTATTTCTGTGGTCATCTCCTTTGCTTGGATTTTTAGTATACTGATCTTTACACAAAACTTTTAGTAAAGAACGTATACGTATTCAATATAGCTTCTGTGCTTTTTATTGCGTCGGTATCACAGCCTTTAGCCTCCTGCTAATCAGGCAACTAAGCAACTGTTGACTAAGCAACATTGTGTTTCAGCCACTTACATTTGAATTTTATATTTGTCAGAGATCCCAGGAATAAGCAGCCATTGGAGCAGTTAAGTCTCTCCTGCGCAGGGGGATGAGTCAGTGTGTGCCCACCCAGGATCAGCCCAGCTCAGCAAGAGCAGGAAGGGAAAAGTGTGCAATACTGCTGCAGTGAAAATTGTGACCCTTGAAATACTCTCAGGCATTTCAAGAAGCATCAGAAACCTTCACAGACACGTTCATAGGTACCTCTGAAAATTACTAAGGTGGGGAGACTGGAAAATGGCAACATACTGCCAAGGAAAAAGGAATATCCAGGAAATAAAAAAAATCACAGGCAAATCTTCTCAGAAATATTCAAACAGATAATTTTTTAGCACAGCAAGATTAATAACAGTGTATTTCCTGAATGGAAACCACATCAAACTGATCTAACTGGTCATGGTACAGCCTGACAAGTCATTCACCTCCTTAAACTAGAAAAATACTATCCATATAAAATTATAACTGCAGACTTCTGTAAATTAAAATAATAATCATCATACAAGAGAGTATTTATCAACTGTTCTGTGTTGGTTTGAAAGGATGCATCAGGTGAGATCACCTATGTCCTAATGAAAATAGTGAGTGTTGCTGGATTTCAGAGCTTTGAGAGACAGCAAGGACCAGTTAAAATCAGCAAGTTACATTAAACTAGGAGAGGCAGGAGTATGGAGGAGAGCAAGACTGGAACTTGAAGAGACAGAGAAACAGCCTGGAATGAACAAGATGCAAATTCAGTGAACACAAATACAATTCCTGCACTTGAGAAATGTAAGCTCAGTTTCACAAGTGCACAACACAGAGTGACCTGTTAGACTGCAGGAGAATGCCTGAGAATTAGACTGAGGCAAATACAGGCTAACTATGAGCCAATAATGTCATAGTACGAGGAAAAAGAAAAAGCATAACAGCAGATTGGGAATAACAAACTGCACTATTATTCTTAGAACATTCAAAATAGCTCTCTACTCACTACTTCTCTGTTAGGAAACTGGGTCCAGGCTGAGGCTCTATGAGTCAAGCAGGCTGACAAACCTGACTGCCTAGAGAAAAGGAACAAGAAAGTTAAAAGACCCGGTTATTATTTCTCTTGGTTTTGCATGACAGAGAATAGAAGCTGTTCTCCATTGCCATATAGAAGTGACATATTAGAATTGAGAGGAAATGAAGAATTAGTATTTTATACATTGTAGCTAAAGAAAAATTCCACTTTACTGGGATCAAAAAGGCCAAGTTTCAGCCCTCCCCTTCTAGTGGAGCTTTCCATACCCTCTCTTGATCGCTGTCTGACAGTATCTGACATTGCATCACAGCCTGGGAATTGGCAGTTGTACTTTTGTCACTTAATATTAGCAGTTTGCCAAACCCTAGGTGTTCTGCCAATACCACCTGGGAAAAGAGGATTCTCTTAGCCCAGACCACGTCAGTGACCACTGAGAACTACATGATTTCTAACATCATACTGTTGTCACAGCAAAAAGCTGTCAGTGAAAATACTCATCACCACGATTATATTCAAACACCTCCAGCTCTAACTCCACTGAAGTGATGTGCTACATGTGAAGTGGGAATTGTAGATGGATCAGAAACGAA